TCATCCTCTCCTCTTCTTCTTCTTCTTTTTCCCCTTTCCTCTCCCCTTCTTTTCTTCTCTTCTTCTTCAATTGAAGCTGCTTCCCTGCTCCGCCACTCTGCCATTGTACTCTTGATAGTCGTCTCCCCACACTGCTGCTGGGGGGGACTTTTTAACATAGGCCTCTGTATGGCCTTCAATTTAAGCTGCTTAAACCATTACGCTTCGCCACTCTGCCATGGGCACCCGTACCGACTGTGCTGCCACCGCCTTCTCATGCTGCTGCCAGGTCCAGAGTGTGTCATGGGTCCCTGTAAACGGCCTCCCATTGCTGCTGTCTCCATCGCCACACTCTGTTCCATGTGCCACTTTTCAGGTCTCCTCACACTGCTGGTGGGTTCCATTTTGTCATAGGTGCTGTATGGCCTCCCATTGCTTTTTTTTCATGCTGCCTGGTCCACCTCCGTAGCGCCACACTGTGGCTCCACACTCTGGTTTGTGGGCCCCGTGACTGCCCAAATGAGTGAAGTGTGCGGTTATTCTAAGATCGATGGCACTCATCTGCATGTCATACTGACTGACAGTATTATTTCTCTTCCCCAGCAGACTCCAAGGGCATTTAAATTAAAGGTACAGTGTTCTGCACTAATATAAAGGCTCTCTGAAGCCTAGAAACCCTTTTAATAAGTTAAATTCGCAGCGAATAAATTCGCATCGAATCGAATTTATTCCGCAAATTCGGCGAATCAGCCGAATCGAATTTTTTAATAATTCGCTCATCTCTAATTAACACATTTTTCCACATGCTTTTGGGAGACTTCAGATGTGTTTTTTTGCAAAATTTAGTCAGGCTTGGATGTTTTTCTTCATAAGAGTCTTGCTACTCTACCCCATAGCCCAGACATATGAAGAATATGGGAGATTGTTGTCACATGTGCCACACAGCCAGTACTTGACAGATATTCCTGCAGCTCCTTTAATGTTGCTGTAGACCTCTTTGCAGCCTCACAGACCAGTTTTCTTCTCGTCTTTTCATCAATTTTGGAGGGACGCCCAGTTCTTGGTAATGTTCCTGTTGCGCCATATTTTCTCCACTTGATGATGACTATCTTCACTGTGTTTCATGGTATATCTAATGCCTTGAAGAGTATTTTGTACCCTTCTCCTGACTGATTCCTTTTAACAATGAAATCACTCTGATGCTTTGCAAGCTCTCTGTGGACCACGGCCTTTGCTGTAGGATGTGACTAAGAAAATGTCAGGAAAGACCTACTAGAACAGCTGAACTTTATTTGGGGTTAATCAGAGGCACTTTAAATGATGGCAGGCGTGTACTGACTCCTTTTTAATATTATTTTTAATGTGATTGCTTAATTCTGAACACAGCTACATCCCCAGTTATAAGAGGGTGTGCACACTTATGCAACCACATTACTCCCCCCCTAAAAGATTTTCAGTTTGTTTTTTTTAATTTAGTTGTACAGTTTATCGGTCACATAAAAAGTGGAAAAAAAGTTCTGAAATGATTTATCTTTGTCTCATTTTTTTACATCACAGAAACCTGACATTTTAACAGGGGTGTGCAGACTTTTTATATCCATTGTAGATATTAGTGGTAAACCATTGATTTATTTAAAAAAGTATGTAACATTTAGACTTTTAGGTCTTACAGTTAAGGAAATAAGTATTTGATCCCCTGCTGATTTTGAATGTCTGCTCACTCACAAAGAAATGATAAGTCTAAAATCGAATGGTAGGTGTATTGTAACACTGAGAGACAGAATAACAACAAAAAAGTCAAAAGAAATGCATGTCTAACAAATGCATGTCTAACAAATTATGCACTAATTTGCATGTTCAAGTATTTGATCCCCTTCACAAAACATGATTTAGTACTTGGTGGCAAATCCCTTGTTGGCAATCACAGAGGTCAGCAGATGTTTCCTGTAGTTGGCCACCAGGTTTGCATACATCTCAGGAGGGATTTTTGGCCTACTCCTCTTGGCAGATCCTCTCCAAGTCTTTAAGGTTTGGTGGCTGATGTTTGGCAACTTGAACTTTCAGCTCCCTCCACAGATTTTCAATCGGATTAAGGTCTGGAGACTGGCTAGGCCACTCCAAGACCTTAATGTGCTTCTTCTTGAGCCACTTCTTTGTTGCCTTGGCCGTGTGTTTTTGGTCATTGTCATGCTGGAACACCCATCCACAACCCATTTTTCAATGCCCTGGCTAAGAAAAGAAGGTTCTCACCCACGATTTGACTGTACATTGCCTCGTCCATTTTCCCTTTGATGCAGTGCAGTTGTCCTGTCCCCTTAGCAGAAAAACACACCCCAAAGCAGAATGTTTCCACCACCATGGTTGACAGTTGGGATGGTGTTCTTGGGGTCATAGGCAGCATTCCTCCTCCTCCAAACACGGCAAGTTGAGTTGATGCCAAAGAGCTCGATTTTGGTCTCATCTGACCACAACACTTTCAACCAGTCCTCCTCTGCATCATTCAGATGTTCAGTGGCAAACTTTAGACAGGCCTGAATATGTGCTTTCTTGAGAAGAGGGACCTTGCGGGCACTGCAGGATTTCAATCCGTGTCGGCATAGTGTGTTACCAATTGTTTTCTTGGTGACTGTGGTCCCAGCTGCCTGGAGATCATTGACAAGATCCTCACGTGTAGTTCTGGGATGATTCCTCACTGTTGTCATGATCACTGACACTCCACAAGGTGAGATCTTGCATGGTGCACCAGACCTAGGGAGACTGACAGTTGTCCTGCTGAATGATAGGAGATCAAATATTTATTTCCCTCATGAACATGCAAATCAGTGCATCATTTGTTAGACATGCATTTCTTTAGAATTTTTTGTTGTTATTCTGTCTCTCAGTGTTACAATACACCTACCATTTGATTTTTAGACTGATCGTTTCTTTGTGAGTGGGCAAACATTCAAATCATCAGGGGATCAAATACTTATTTCCTTCACTGTATAATAACCTTTTTGCCTATGCTTCATGTATACAAATTTTTGTTAACTCAATATAAAAAATGGCTTTAAAAAAAAATCAATTTTTTCTATACAAGAAAACAGTATATTTTTTCATATATTAGTGTTTTAAAAAATTATGTGATTACGTTTTTGGTGTAATATCAGTTTATTTAAACTCTGTGGGGCCAAATAAAAATGTAAATGTTTTTTGAATGCTGAATTTGAGTCTTATAGTTTTGTTTCTCAGTTTGCAACCTAGTAAACTTAGTAAAAAAAAACTTGTAATTCGCATTCATTTTTTTTGTATTTTAGAACAGACCACATTAGCACTTTATCTATGCCTTGGGCATTTTATAGGGTGTAAAAGTTAATAGTGCATAGTTGTTTTTTGATAAAATATTAGTATTTATTTTCTATAAATCTAAAAGCTTTTCATCCAGCAAACTAAATTGACTTTGAAAAAATTACATTTGTAGTAAAAAAGAAAAGAAACCGTGTTTCTTTTGAAATACCTAAACATTTACACGGGAAAGTGTAAAAAAAAAAGACAGGTAATTGTACTAACATATGATTGAGCATTCAAACTGAACACAGCTTCACCCTATGTAACTATTGTTTACTTTGCAAATCAGGACAAACACTTTGCAAAGTGGAATATTTTCTTTTCTGAGTAATTTCAGTGCACCATGTTTACTGATTTTCAGCTCAGGCATCTAAATAAATCAAGTAATTTTCTTATGGGGAAAATTCACGTGTTTGAGCCACTTAAAGATCATTGATTAAATGTTATCCATGTAGACCTATATAAGCTGCTTTTTTTATGGTTTTTTTTTAACACAATACAACTTTTATAGTAAAGAAGCTATTTCACAATGTGCTATATATATATATTATATAGATTATATAAGTATATATAATATATTGCAGCACAAGTGGTTAAGTGGTTAGCACTTCTTCCTGGCAGCACTAGGGTCATCATAATTTGAATCCCAACCATGGCACACTCCAAAGTGATGCTGGTAGGTTAATTGGCACCTGTCTAGTATGACGGCTAGTGTGTGTATGTAAGAATGTGAGTTAGGGGCAAGGTGGGACAGACCATTTGGAAACTCGGGCACTGCCGAGGGTCCGGGTAAGTAGGGGGCCCCATGAGATTGCCCCTGGTGCCTTTTTCATAGGCTTTTTTGAGTTTGGGCAAGGGGTCACACGGGCCCCATGATCCCCTATTTGCCCGGGGGCCCCAATGAGTTGTCAGTCGCCCCCGTGGTTCGGGGCCTAATATTGTAGCCTAGCTCAATTAGTAGGGCCAGGGACTGATGTGAATGTATAGGTATATATGTACAGCACTGTGTAAATTGCCAGAGCTATATATGTACCTGTAAAAATAATTACAAATTTATAATAAATACAGTATAATTGTGGGTATGTGGAACTTTGTAATGTTTTGCAAATATAATCATATGTAAATGAATACCTAATACTTTAACTATTAACCACTGCACTATTTCCAACAGATAATTGCCGACGTGGACATGCAATGCTATGATGAAAAAACTAAATTTAACAGTCCTATTTTTTTCACACAAATAAGAGCTTTCTTTCTGGTGGCAATCCTGATCACCTGTGTGCTTTTATTTTTTGGTTTGCGCTATAAAACAAAAAAAAGACTGACACATTGAAAAAAATATATAGTAAACCAAAGTTATCATAAATTTAAAAGCAAAATTATTTGCTACATGTTTTGGTAAAAAAATCTCAATAAGTGTACATTGATTGCTTTGTGTAAAGTATAGTGTCTACAAACAAAAATGTGGGGAGTTAAAATATATTACTGCAATTGTTAACACACACCATTTTTGCTTATCACCAGCACTGCACTAGTTAACGACAATTGCTGGTTCATGCCAATGCTGTACAAAATAAATTTATGTACTTTTTTCCCACTAAATAGAGCTTTCTTCTGGTGGTATTTGATCGCACTTGTGTGCTTTTTTTTTCCCCTGCACTATAACAAAAAACTCTACAAAAAGTTTGGAAAGAAAAACCCCGTTATTTTTCTCATTTCTGTCATGAAAAATATCCAACTAACTCACATGTCCGTCATAAATTTAGGGCCAAACATGTATTCTGCTACACGTTTTTGTAGAAAAAAAATCTAATAAGTTTACAGATTGATGTTCTTTGTGTGAACATCACGCATCTCAACAAACTATGGTATAATAATTTACATAGCTTTACTTATCTGACTGTCTATCACAGTTTTTGAGGTGCAAAATACCAGACAGACAAAACAACCCCCAAATTGACCCCTTTTTGGAAAGTAGACCACCATAAGCTATCATGCTGAGAGGAACATTGAAGTCCATGGAAGAGTTTTTGTACTTCCAAGAGTTTTTGGAAAATCACAAAACATTTTGGGTTAACACAAAGTTATCACCTTAAATGATATATTGCTCAAGTAAAGCCCTGGGTATATAGTGGCAATACAACAAAACATACACATACAACAACACCAAAACACAAAAAAACACAACATCAAAACATCACACTTTACAAAACAATTAAATTATTACACAAACCTAACAAACAAAA